TTAAATTAATTACACTGAACAGGTAGCTTCCTGTGACAACTCTTACACAATCCTAATACAGAATTTGAGATTTCAAGATGACGCTGACCAGGGCAACATCGTCTTTGCTCTTTTGTTCCTTATATGATGTATAATTGGATCATATTTTTATTGTAAGTCTTTAATTGTATGAGCTCACCAAACCAAATTCCATGTTCCTGGTTGTTATGGCAATTAAGTATTGAACTTCAGCGGGAGCTTACTGTTTTACAAATACTTTTACAACACTTATTTTTATACTGTAATCTGAAAAGAAAAAGTTTAACCATTTACAAGGTCATCCTTGCAGTTCATTCAGTCTGAAGGAATCATAAAACATCACACGATTTTGACCAAATTAGAAAATGTGCCTGAAGTCTGTTTCCCCGAACAGAGAGCAACTGGTTTCCATCCCAAAAGCGAGTCAGAAAGAAGTGGCTGAGCACAGAGAAAACAGGAGGAAAGAGACAAAACAATCCTCATGCGCCGAGAAACACAAAAAACAGATTCAATCCGATTTATAATTTTAGTGCTTTTCACAAAGAAACTAAACTTATAAACGCAGTTGCGTATTAGGATAAAATAACTTCTTGTTAGCTGTGCTAACCCTTATTGATCAAGTCATCTCCCGACAGTCTGAGTTCCAATCTTCACGCCCCTGTTTCGAGTAAGCTGTAACCATCAGGCCAGATCAAGCTCGAGTTTATTGTCATTATACTCATATACAGGTATATGGCATAACGAAATGCTATTTAGCTAGCTCTCAGACGATAAGCAGTACAAAAACAACAATTGGTAACCCAATTAAGAAGTGACCTGGAATTAAGAGACGGACAAAATGTTGTAGCATTGAGAACCTGGACTACTGTAAACTGTGAAAAGGCAATCACACTCGCTTTCATGAAACATTTCTTTAACAGGAGAAATAAACAGTAGCATGATACAGCCAGAAAGAGACGCAAAGGAAATCCAGGATACACCAGGATTCAGGATACACCGACTTTTAAACACTTTCCCGCTTCCCCCTCTAGCCTGTATCCTTCCTTGGGGTTTCTTCCTGTGCAAATAATAGCTTTATATACTTCAGGGATAGCGAGCCTCAGGACTTCCACTCTATACCATTATCAAGACATCAGTATCCAGCTTGTTTACTGGAAGGCTCAACGAGCTGGAATGGCATGGAATGGGTGTATCAGGGTAGACTACCATATTCCCCCGCCTGTCTAAAAGCCCACATACAGTACCTCCGGGCTTTTGCTCCAGCCCTGTTCTCAGTTACACAAGTGAACCCTTAACTGCCTTAGTAATAGGATTAATTTGGACTCCTTGACTGTTTGTTTTAGCTCTTAAACACGTTAGAGGCTGCATTTAAACTCTTGCATTTCATGAATAGAACCCCAAACTCTTGGGGAGAAAATATCTTGCAAAGATTCCAATCAAGCATCTTATTAGTTCAATTAAGACTTCAATTAGGCAATGAAGATGGACTGGACAACACCTGCTGTTTGGGGGCCGGGCCAGGGTGGGGGATACCTGGCCTGGGTTTTCCGGGCGGTAAAGTTGTAGCACTCTTTCCCAGTTTTGACGCGTGTTGCTGGAGCATAATCTATGGCCTCTTTTCCCATTTCAGGGTAGCCTGCGGTTTCGGCTGGGACTGCACGCACCCCACTGGAGTTGGCCATTTTCACTCAGAGATCTGAAAGGTCCCCAAGACAGCAGCCTGGCTGTTGTGATTCAGATACAAAAGCTTTGAATGTTCAGAAAAATGACATCTCAGCTGGCAATAGAATCTGTGTTTGATGTAAAATATCAATCGGTGTACGTTTTCTTCGACAAGGGACTTGTCACCTCAAGGGCTTTATGATTAAATGTCAGGTGGTCGACGTCCTTGAACACTCTTGTAACCCAGCTCTTCCAGCAACAAGCTCTCCTGAAGGACATATCAATGAACAAAAGACAAATACGGTCAATCTTGCATGTGTTCATTCTTCAGAGTTCTTATCTGGTCTTATCAGGTTAATTCTGTTTGCGTTTCCTTTTTTTTTCTCAAGCCCTTCCTATAAAATGGCTCATGGAGGATTCTAACATCAATATGAGAGTCCTGGTACGAATATGGTACGTGTTACATATTTTAAGATTACAGTTTAACATCATCATCAACAACAACAATAATTTAGCATAATTACCAACTTAGATCTATAGAAATGTGTTTCAGTATATCTTTCTATCCATAGAAAATAATCCCCTTTATTGCAGCTTTGGAACTATACAGTCCTTATGGCATGGGCATAGTGACCTTAACCCACACCTGAAGAAGGCTTCACAGCCGAAACGTTGTGTTTTCTTTCTTCTCTTTTCAGCATGGAATAAACCTATTACTTGTTCCTTTGCAGACTACACATGCTGACGCAGCTGCCCACCTGAACTACTGACCTTAACTACTCGCTTAATCATGCATTTTTGTATGTTAGCTTAGCATTGATGTTAAAGTGTAACGAGATACGATTTTAACGAATTAAGAAGACGAGGGCTTATAAAAAAAAGAACCTGTGTCGTGTCCTACTGCGATAAATCGTCCTGACGTAGTAACTGTGGGGTCTTTTTCGCTGCGAACGACCAGAGATCAGCGATTCTTCTTTGAAGCGAATCTGACCCTGGAGAGTGAAAGAGCACAATTCTGTGAATACCGTTAGACCATTTCAAATTATATTCAGCATGAGTTTTCAGTACCCGTTTAGACTGTGGGACTGGTCAGCGGCCTTCCTAAACCCCGACCTGACCACCTCCACTCCTGTCCTGCCCGGCACCCGTACCCCAGCCGGGCGCTCTTCGGCCGCAGCGCCGGGCGAGTGCGCTACACTATTGATCGTAGGAAGCCAGAGGCAGCTACACACACGGGACGGTAAGACAGTGCAACGCAGGGTCAATTTTCTCAATTATTATAGATGCACTAAATGCCTTTATCTTGTTGCGGTGAATAAGATGCTAAAGGAAAAGCAGAAAGCCACTCTCCCGCGTCAAACAACAACAGATTCCCATGTTCACTGAAATGATTTTAGTTGCAGTTTGCATGACTGTTTGCAATACGTACTCGCATAACAGATACGTCACGCACACATATGGCTATTTGGAGACCTGCAGACTAAGTACGGGCTATTTCTGCTGACCTGGCAGTAGGTTTCGCTGTGTTTTTTGCGGAGCTGGAGAGCGCTTGAACTAGCCGGCCAGCAGGGGGCGCCCCGGGCGAGTGAAGACGCCCTGTTTTCTCGCAGCTCAGGAATCGGGGGAAAAGAAACGTCGTTGCAGACTCGGAAAGGGAAACCACGGGCATGAGACGCGTGTTTTCTGAGGAGCTGCAGTCCCCATGTAAGTAAAAAAAACAATCCCAAACTAATCTTAATACCTCTAATATAATCTCTAATGTGAGCATTTTATAGATCCGTGAATCTCAGAGTTTGACCCGCTGTTATGTCTACTTCTGACTGCGCACATGACAACCTCGACAGTATCTGCGCTTCAGAAAGAGTTACTGGGTTGAGCCTATAATTGTCATGAACCGCTTTCCAGCTGTTTCTGGGACAGTTTCATGCCGTTTCTTCGAGGTCTAAAACAACCCGGGACGGGAAGAGATCGCATATTACACTCGCTGCGCTCGCCCATCTCTAGGGAAAGTTTTTTTTTTGTGTGTGTGCGTGTGCGCGTTTTAAAACATGGCTTAGAAAAATCTCCACAACGTCTCAGAAGTTTTTTTTCCAATCCTGTCCATTGCTTGCGTTTTTTAAGACTGCATGCCATTTTAAAAAGCCTTAAACACGAGACTATAGAAATAACGAAGTTCTTTCCTCTCCTAATGTGACATAAATGTATATATCCTGTTTACATGTTCTTAAACGTCGTTATTCGTCTCCGGAGCTGCATCGTTTCTCTCTTATTGTTAAGAAAGACAGACTCAGGGAGTACTGTACTGTACTCGTTTAAAGATGACGAGATAAAATTCAGTCTCAGGATAAAGACAGATTCTCAGTTGCGGTTCAAGCAGTGTCTTTAAAACCTAGACACTAGATGTAAATTGACCCTATATTTTAAAGATGTCTTCACTCTTTTTTGAAAACATTCAGCCCTGTGAGCTTCACGCTCCTATGCCCAAGTGCTACAAACGATGGGCTCCAGTGGGGTCGCTCTACTCGTGTCGGGTATTCTGGACGATGGAGCTTTACTCGTTACTGTAACTTGTTTACCGGCTTGGATGTATCAGCTAGGAAGCTATGAGATAAACTCTCATCTGAGGACGCCTCCAGGAGAACGATAGATCTGAGAAAGGCGAGAGAGGAATACTGCACAAAACAGCTCAGTTGTTAACAACAACACACAAAAAAAAAACAAACACTACTGTTTGCGAAATGAAATAGGTTGTTGTGAGTTTCACGTTGCTAGAAGGCATACGGTATCAAGGGATTTGATGGTGTACCTATTAATAGCTGTCAGTGTTTACGGGGAAAAAAAAGACTGGAATCAAGAAGAACTGACTTTTTACAATTGCATCTGGCCGCTGCACGGATCCAGCACTAGGTCGTGCTTTAATATGTCGGCCTTTGGATCGTCCTCCGATTCCTCGGCGTCAAGAGCGCAGTCTTCCAGCAGGCGCCGGTGACGCGGCGGAGCCCATTGTCACGCCCTCTGCAGCCAGAGGGCACTCCTTCTCTGTCCTGTCCCTAGTTTCCAGTCTGCTGTCCTTCCTGTCCCTCTCTTTCCCTTGGGCTATATATTTCCGGGTCTTGCACTCTGTCCTCGCTCAGCATTGACGTTCGGATGTCCTGAGACCCGCCTAGCACCAGGGCGCCCCACGTCCGCTCCCTGAGGGCATAGGTTTCTATACGGCATTCCTGAACTCTTTGCACTAACAAGCCCGGGCCTTTTTCCCGTCTCGCCGCTACGCATATGGGTCTTTTTCCGCTCTCCTGCTCCCCACGGTTAGTCCCTTTGGACGTCCGTGACACCCATCTCCTGCCCGCCGAGCTCCTGCGGTGTGGAGGAGCCTCCTGGTCACACAGAGAGAGAAAGACAGGGGGCGCCACAGCTCCAGGCGCTGGATGCCTTCGGGAAAGAGCACAGCGCCCTGGCTTACGTGAGGCAGCAGGAGGAGGAGGAAGCCCAGGCATGCTGGCGGTGTGGTGGTCTGGCCCCTCAAAGGAAGTTTTGGCGCACAGTGCAGTTCAAGGCCCATCGGCTGCAGTAACACAGCCTCGCTCCTTTCTGTCCACCCATTTCTCCTGTGTATCGAACTCTCAGAGAACTGTGGGTTTTACCCTTTTTTGATTTGCCTGGGCTGGGGGCTCACCTCGGAGCCTGCGGACCCCCCCGCCGCAGGGACGGGACCGGTCTGGAGGGACGGCAGACACCTCTGGCCCTGCCCTGACGTGCCCTCGGTCCGGAGTCGTCGTTGTTACTGACATTCTCATCCTCTTAACTGTAATACTTATTCCCTCTGTGAACCAAAAGCTGCTTTTCCTGGTGGGGATCCCAGGAGAACGGGGAGCGGTTTCGGGGCTCTGGCCTGGCTGGGGCGCTGTTCCGTCCCAGGACGGGCACAGATGCACAGGGATGATTCCGAGACAGCTGTGAAAACGTGTCTTCTTCTGTTCTGAAACCTTCTTCGCCAGGTCTTGGAATAGTTGCCGTTTTATATTATCGAACCAGTTCCAGATTTTCTGTTAAAAGTCATTGTACAGCCACAGGTAACTGAGCTGAACAGTACTTCGGGAAAGCGTGTTCTTGGTTGTCTCCCTCTCATGCTCTTGTGTACTTTACCTCCACGGGTTTCTATTAAAGATGGTACAATAACTGTTCCTGAACGAGTCCCATGTGACTGCTTGTTTTTGCGCACTCTTGCTTTGCTTGTTGAAGACTGTTAAGACCTAGAGCCCTCCTTTTATTTGATTTTTCTGGCAGCAACTCCAGGGCAGAAATATTGCAGCAATATGGTAGTCTCTGGTAGACCATTGCTCCGTTTGGATTAAAACATAGGGGAGAAGGGTCTTTTTTCATTTGTGTTTTTTTTTATGAGTGATTTTTTTTTTGTCTTTCTGTTGCTGCCAGCAGGTTTGTCCCGGCTCTCCGGGAGATGTGGGCTCTGCAGGGACGGGTCGGATGAACGGCGACGGAGGTGCTGAAGTATGAGTCTGTGGACCCGTGTTCCTCAGAGCGGGCCGGCTCCCTGTGACCGATACAAACACGCCTGCTGTGCTCAGGGAGACGACATCTATCTGCTCGGCGGCCGGAGGCAGGGCAGACTGAATGACTTCTGGAGGTACAGCGCTGGTAAGTCGTGACAGTAATTGCTTTTCTGCCAGGGTGGTGTAGTGTCCTACAGTGCACTGTAATCAGAAACACTGGGCCAGTGGGGAAGAAAGCTGGTCTCCATGAGAAATATCCCCGAGCTGCTCTTTTATTTCTGTATGGACAGCTATGTCCCGAATTGCTGCACAGGGGAAGAGACGGCACGCGGGCGGGCCCTCGACACAGTTTGGCTGCTTTCAGGAAGGCTGTCGCAGTCGCACTCAAAACCCAAGGGAAGGTGGTTTTCATCAGCTCCTGGGCCTGCTTTCCAGCTCTGAGAACGGCGTGTGCACGTGTGTGAGCGTGTGTGTGAGCGTGTGTGTGTGTGTGTGTGTGTGTGTGTGTGTGTGTGTGTGTGGTGCATGGGTCTGTGCTTTACAGTGCGGACCCTGCTGACCTAGCCTGTGCTCCTCTCTGTCAGCGAGCAGCGAGTGGACTGAGCTGGACTGCAGCTCTGAAGAGGCCCCGGAGGAGCTGGAGGAGCACACGATGGTGACACATCAGGTTCGGAGTCTCGCCGCCAGCCAGAGCCACACGCGGCTCCGTCAGGCCAGTGTCGATAACCATAGACTGCCTTCTTACTGAGTCAGAAGAATTGCTGAGATCTTCAGTTTCATTTTTTACTGGATAAATATCAGCCACACAGTGCACGTGACCTATTGTATCTCTGAAGAAGAACTGCCTTGACTGACTCAATAAAATTATTCAAACACCAGAGGTTACAGGGCCACTCTTTTATTTAAAGGGGAACTGCGAAGCTATTTTTAGATATTGGGGTTAGAAGGAATGAGCATTGAGAAGTACATTTTAAACCACAGAAAAAGTAGAAATGTACACAGCAACATGAAAAACCTCCAATTCAGATCACAAAACAGACGAAATTTCCTGGTCTGCACAGCGCCATCTTCTGCCATTAAGAACGCAGCAGCAAAACTTCATGTGACATGAGGCAGCCCTGTTACATTGTAAACCAGCAGGCTTGTGAATATATCTCTTTTAATCCGATAGAAATATTACTCTCGATTGTGAGACTTTGAATTTAGAAATGTTTCCAACACGTTAACAGACTGTTCACACTAACATCGTTCATCCTGTGTGTTTCCCAGGGATTTCTGTATGTCTTCGGGGGAATGATAGATTCTGCCTACACAGAGGGGAAGACCTCTCTCTGGCTGTATGATATAGGTAGATCAAAATAGGTTTTTTATCCTAAATTGAGAAGAAAGTCTTATTTGCAACAATGATCTGGTGAGTACCCATTTATATAACAGGGAATTGATTTACTGGATCACCCTGAGTGACATACTGAACCTTGTTCAAGGGTGTAATATTAGTGTCCCAAACTGGACTCTGAACCCCCAACCCTCTGTACAGAAGGCCCAACCACTACCTCACACTGCTACACAAGAGTTAAGAATTGCTGTCCAAATTAAGTAACCACATGTATAATTGGGTAGAGAGACAGTAATTCAACATTGAGGGATAAACAAAATGTGCTAAAGTAACATTATTAATACTAGGTTGAGATGATTTCCATTGAAGCATTTTTAGTTGCTAAGGAATTTATAGTGCACTTCATTACACACTTTTCACTAATAGACATCTCATTTATCAAAAATAACATAACAGTGACCAAAGGAATGATGTGAATATATCTGTGGATAGAAATCCTAATGTGGATTAAGATCTTGGAGACAAGTCACCAGGTTGATGAAAGTTACTTCTAACTTCCAGCGCGCTAGGAAGTGTCTTGAGTGATCTGTATTCTAGTGTGGAGCTGGATGTGTGTGGAAGAGACCAGCCAGTCCCCCTGAAAGCGCAGTGTAGCTCATAAAGTAATTGCTATGGACGTGTCTTTCCTACAGACAAGAAGCAGTGGGCACGCTGGCAGGGAGCACACAGCAAGGTACTGTACTGTACGGCTGTTTTCACTCTGTGTTCAGGGCAGCAGGATTATTGGAGGGTTCTTCACAAAGGTTGCTGGGTATGACTGTGCACGGAGTGCACTGGGGCTGTCCCATATTTTAACCTAATCTATCAATTGGCTTTTTTATTGAAGATGTCGAACTCCAGCAGGGGTTTTGGCTAACTTTGAACTAAGTTTAAATTCGGGGACAAGTCTACAAGTTTTAAAAATGCAGAGGAAAAGGAGATGTCTCTACTATTTCTGGTTTGCTCTGAAAAAAAGTTAGACGCAGTTAAGTGCTTTACTTATATACTTATATAGATGCGGTGGCAATAAATGTTATAGAAGAACAACCTTTTAATTGCTTTTGTACATGTAAACACAGAAGTTGCATTCTGTGTGTGAAGCTCAGTGTCGTGTTTGCAGATCTGTGAATTTCCTTTGTGGTTTTTGTTAAAGTACAGTAAGTAACCGTGGGAACTAAATGCTGTCATGCCCACAGCTCGCAGAGTGCATCTCTGAAGGTGCTCATTTAACCGGGTAATCGATACCGTGTTTTAAATATGCATGAGCTCTTGTCTCTGTGATGCGTGTCTCCTTTCCCATGATGAATTGGTGTTTCAGAGTGGGGTTCCAGTAAACCGATGGGGTCACAGTGCTGTGGTCTATGAGTCTGCGATGCACGTCTATGGGGGATACATCGATATGAAAGGTTCTACCCAGGAGTTCTGGATGTTTGATTTTGGTCAGTTTGTGTCTATTTACAATTATGCAAAGCTTCAAATGTCTTGGTATATATTTTTCTCTGCTTATATTTCGTATTCTTTCCATTGGAGAAGACATTTGGAATAGGCCTGCAGGATTTTTTGTTAATGACCCTAGATCCATTGTTCAGAATTTTAATTTTCAGTATCGTGGTTTTATTGACCCAGTATAAATGAGCCAGTTACAAACGAGGTGAATTATTTCTGCAAGCTGCTAAGTTTAGCCCCTACTGGGTTTTGTACCAAGCATGAAAGGCTCTTTCCTGAGCCTTACTGTATCTCCTACTGCAGGTGAGCTACCACTCCTGTGATAAAACTCAGGTCTGTTCTCAGTTTCCCTCTGTGGATAGTAATGTCCCGTACGATTGTATAATAGTGCGGTATCGTTACAGAGTTATTCTACCTTTTCCTTTCTGATTTTTCTTTGGACCCTTCATGAGCGTTATGCTCCAGGAGGTGAACTGACTCGCCTTGACTAGGAGCAGAGAGTGGGCAACCGTGGGCGAGACTGACCTTCGTGCATGTGGTCTGTGCTGTGTGTTAGACTGCGGCCAGTGGTCCTCACTCCTCCCCCCGCTCGGCGACGCTGGCCCCGGGCCCAGGCACGGCCACTCAGCGGTGGTGCACCGGGACGGGATGTATCTCTACGGAGGTCTGATGGGCCTCAGGGAGCAGAGCGACTTCTGGAAGTGGAACTTCTGCAGCCAGTCCTGGTCCAGCGTCAAGGCTTTGTGAGTCTGGACCTTTGCTGCGAGAAATGCTCAGGCATGGTCATGTTCCTAGTGCTCACAGAAATATAGCAAGGCATGGATGTCAGATTGTATCCTGACCTCTTAGGCCAGGGCACCCACAAGACCGTTGAAGGCAGCTGTAGAGGGGTAGGAGGTGCAAAGCTAAACCGCTTCCCTTGTTTCTGGCAAAGACTACGCTGAGAAGGAGCTGTCATACCCAGACTACGGCGGCCCTGGGATACTGCACCATTCCCACGAGAGATCTGGGTCCTCCCGGTGTTCCCAAGACACATTCAGGCTGACCACCAATCAGACGCCTAGTCTCCCAGTTAATCCTTGTGGACTTCCCTGTGCCACTGGGAAGGTGCTCTGGCGCTGAGATACCTGTGGCAGTACGGCCCTCAGCACAGCTTCACAGGATGAGAAAGCGAAACCTGGCAATTCCTATGGAATCCCAAATCTTCCACAGGTCCCAGACTTAGGATCTGAATCTCCGAACCTGCCTGTACCCAGGCCTGCAAGCACCTACCCCATGGCAGCTTTCACTGCCTGCTGCTGACTTCAACAGCCATCACTCTCCTTGTTCCTCACCACACCTCTGCTGCCTTCGGCCCGTCTCGGAAACCGCTGAAACTGCCCGAGCTCCTGGGTTTCAGCCTGCTAACCAGTGCAGCCGCCTGCAGCACATAGCTGTGCCGTAGCAGGATCATTCGATATCTACTTCTGCACCAGGCGATCAGGTGGTGATGGGGTGACCCACCGTTACATTAGAAATGCTAGGATGAGAGAAGGCGTATCTGATGCCAGGGGCGGGTTACTTTTGACATTTTCTATCATTTTGTGTTTTTTTAACATCAATCCCCCTGAAAAGCATCTTCCTAAAATAACGTTATTCTTTTTCCTCCTCCTCCTCCAGTTCAGGACCCTCTAAGCTAGTGGGGCACTCAGCTGTGCGGTACGAAGACAGCATGCTGCTGTTTGGAGGAGGGGAGACGCACAGCTTCCCAAAAAACAGCCTGTGGAGATTCAGCTTCACGTCCCAGACGTGGGAGAAGCTCTCCACAGCGGCGGACGCCTCCCCTCCCGCGCGGATCTACCACTGTAGCACTGGACTGGGGCCGGGCTTCCAGGCCAAGGGGAGCACGGCGCCCTCGCCTGGGCCGAGCCCCGGCAGCACGGAGAAGCAGGACGGCCTCAGGCTCAGGCCTTTTAAGAACAGGTGTTTTCCCTCCGCGGCCATGCAGGGAGCGATTGAACTGGACACGTTCTGCATAAAAAACGGCACAGATGGGTCAGGGCGCGAAACCTCAAGCAGTGGGGCGCCAGAGAGAGACGACCCGCTCTGCCAGCCTTCGTTAAGGACCAGCGGCCTTACTGTGGTGAACAGGGAGGCTTTCGGAAAAGACTCTCTCTCCGTGCCAGAGGACCGTGTGGTGGACCTGCTGCTGGTCATAGGAGGGAAGCCTTTAAGCCGACGTGCCAGCATTTCTGTTTGGCAGCTGACGCTGGCTGACCTCTGACCCCTGACCTCTAGTGAAGACTGGAAGCACTTGGCTCTGGGGAAAAAGGCACTGAATCGCATTTATAATTGATAATACTGTCCCATGCAACAGATTTTAAAGTTTTAACTTTATTCTAACAGGTTTTTTGGTAACACCCCTCCAACATGTTAACTATTTTCTATACAACTATACACTTCGGTAATACAGTACCAAATATTACTGTCTGCTCCTTTAAATAATAACATACATTTTAATCAGGGCCTGTGAAAAACATACTGTAGAGGTTAGGCTCTTAAGAGAAGGTATTCCTTTAGAATCTGAAGTTATTTTCTTAAATTCAAGTGTGGATTTTACCATTATTTTATATATTAAGAGTACAGTCTGCTCTGCTATAAACCAGCTGGAGCCTGATGAGAAGTATTATAGTTAAGCAACAGCTAATTAAATAGACCAAAAATAACTCTATAACAGCCTGCTGAATTAAAAACCAGAAGACGCCATGCCAGGGTTATATCCAAATGTGTTGCATTATTATACTGGCCATGATGTAAAACAGGCTGGTTTAGGGCTGGTCCTGCGGGTTTTCATTCCAGCTTGGCTGTGAAAGACCAGGCCTGGCCTGTAGGCAGGTTGTCAGCATTTTCACAGCTTCTTCCAGCTCTCTGGGGGCTGCGGCTGGCGAGACCCCTCACAACCCTGCAGGCACCCTGGCCCTCCAGGACCAGAGCCGGACCCCCTGCTCCAACATACCCACACTTCAGGAACATTCAGCCATGAAGTTGTTTTCACACGCTGCCGGTCTCCCTTTCATGATGCCCACAGTGAGAAGAAAAAGCAGCTCCAGGAATAAAAGCCTGTTTACACCCTGTGAGTTAAGAGCAGAGTAACTGACTTGTGTTCAAAGCAGAACAAGGACTGTAGCATCAGGGGCTTGTTTGCAGAGGATGAGGTCTTCAGAGTCGGAAGAGTGTGTGAGGAAGATGGGGCAACCTGCACTTTAGGTCAATACATTGTCATTAATGTTCAGCATTTGTTTTACAATGACATGTAAAGGGCACCTATCCATTTGTCTGCACATATCTGCAAAACCTCTTCATTGCCTTCTGGGTAGAGTGTTCTTGTCAGAACAATTACAAATGAGTCCATTTGGGCTATCTGCCTCCTTTGGTAGTCATTATGAGTTATAATTATTTTAAAATAGTTGTTTTCACAGCAGAATGGAAATTTAGGGAAGACCGTTTTTGTGGAACATCTTGTTCATCATCTGGAAAAGAAATGCCCCGAATTGTACACGTGTATCGGGAGGACTGCAGGACTGAGACACTAAACAGGCTGTGGGATGTGCCGTCAGCAGCACCTGTAAATTGCTTGACAGAACACTCGACTGCTGAAACATTGTAAAAAAAACAGCTCTGGATGTTTCAGAATTGTAATCAACCAATAGTAACTTTAAAAGGGCATCAAATGAAAAAAAAAGATCAATAATTCTTTATATTTAAAAATGTTTAGGTTTTCTGTAATATTTTTTAAATTCTTAATATTACAAAAACACTCCCATGCCTCCGAAACTCTGAATGCTGCATTGCTGAAATGAAGATTTTCATAAGTTTTCTTCACTTGAGCTTTTTCTGGAGCTGTTCAAAAACTGGTAAGGGTGCTTGGTCACATGTTGGAAAACAAATAAAAAGGGCCTTTTTTTCCCCTCAATGAAATGTTTTTCTTGAAGTGAGGGAGTTTCATATTGCAATTGCAAGCTTTTCCAGCCTACCTTTACACCTCTTGCCGTTACGGAGGGTCGCTGGCTGACCGTGAAAAGCTACAAGTTTCTGACGCCGCGATGAACAGGAACTCCAATCCTCACACACCTGTCCAGTGGGCAGCATCCAGGGGTACTGGGTTACTAGGAATGCTAAACTGAATTTTTTTGTTACCTGCCCCCTGTTTAAAGTCACTGTAAATAATTGAGATTACTTTAAACAGACGTTATGTGATTACGTGCAGTAAGATTATTCGTATACTGTGCATGTATACTGTAAATTGCTCAGCTGAGGAGTCGCTTGCACAGTACAGTTAATTTTACGAGTGCCCTGTGCGGGAGACAGCATAGAGGCTTTTTTTTCCAGTACCAAAATAAAAAAACAGCGCTCTTACCGAAAAAAAAACTAGCACTGTGAACATCCTCTGAGCACAATTTACACAGCGGGTCAGGATAGTCAGCTTTGATTTCTTTTGGAGCTCAATAATTTACCAAGCATAAATGATGGACTTTAATCCATCCTTTTCCCTCTTTGCTCCTTGCTGCACTGTGATAACCGCCTGCTGTTCCAAAGCTACGCTCCCTCCAGAAGAACCTGCAGCACCAGTCCATCAAAAGATGGGCTCCCTTCCTTATCCAGCTGCTGCAACAGAATGATTATGGGCAGGCACCGTCAAATAAGGCATTGCCCATTTGGGTAATTTACAGAAGTAACCAAAATAAGCAGCGCACAAACAAAAAATCTGCAAGACAGTTCTAAAAGTATGCATTTTACTTAGAGAAATCCTACATCATATAAAATTGCAGCAGGCATACTAAAATCTCCCAGTTCTTTATCAATGTACATACAAAATGCATGTCAGTGCAGAGTTTCCTAATCCAGTTTTTTACATCAAGATTACACCGACATATACAAAGTGAAACATGGTGCACTTTACAAAAATAAATTACAGTTAGGAATGCTACAGTGAATTGCACTTACATGGCAATATAAAGACCTACCAGAGTGGTGATAGAGCTACAGTATTGTTCACTACGACATGCAACTCGGGATACAAAATGAGTAAGAAACAGAAAAACTGTATCCTATACGGACAGTCCTTCCTGGGGCCAGATACGGATTTCCTTCTGTCCGAGAATAAAAGTGATGCCGAAATGATGCTTTTGGGGATCAAAACTGAACTGTGATCTAGTAGTACAAAATTGTGGTATGGTTTTCTGTTAGGAAAGTCCACTAAACGTTAGTACGGCACATATGCCAACTTGCCATACTCTGGCAGACCAGTCACAGTGTGAGAGCACGACTGGCAGCTCTGAACAACGCAGAAAGGACAGCCGGACGTCGACCAGTCCCGGCAGGAACAGGTAGCTCGTCAGATGCACAGCTGGCCAGCAGAGCAGAGGGAGAAGTCAGATGGAATCTCCCAGACCCGAGATATTCTGTCCCTGCCTATTAGCAGGGACTGTCCAAATGGAGAGAGGTAAAAAGACGACCCCTGACGAGCATTCCCACTGCCTGATGGACAAGGGCTGCCCCGTGCCGAAGCGCTGAAAACCGTTCTTCCGATGTCCAGCCCGGGTGGAAACGAGCAACCGGAAGGCCACTGCACCTTGCTGCTGGCTGGGAATGATTTTCTGCAAGGCCAGTCCCAGCGGCAGTGAGTCCAGACACCGAGGACGGACAGTTGCCGCCCAGTGGCCAGTGCGTGCGTGCATGAGGACAATCCCACTGCACACGGCCACAGGGCAGCGGAGCGAGGGCCTGGAACAGCACAGGCTGTTCCTGCTGCCAGGGCTCAGTATATATAACCAATGAAGACTAAGTGATTACGTTTTTTTTTAGAATCATACATAGTTGATGCTAAAGGTGCTACATGCTACAAAATCTTAGTAGCTAACATGTATAAGAAAGAAAAACAGTTACATAGTTCTAGAAACTAAATAAGGCAAAGTATAAAAACTAAGAAGTACAGTGTAGACCTAGTCCATTCTTCCAGTTTCCATGGCTCATTGTTGCACGCTAAGATTTCTCACATACAGTACCAGCAGTGGTTCCAGTCTGGGGGGTTTCTGAAGCCCGAGGCCTGAGATCAGCATCGGGACTCTTCACAAAGAACAAAAATAAAAGAAAGATGCACCTTGAACATTTCCAGGAAACATTTGTTTGCATTTCCCTAAAATCAAATTAAAACGGCAGAAAAATCCCAGTCATCAGATGGCATGGCCTCCCAGGCCTGCCGAGTTCAGGCACGAGGCCGGCAGGGCAGGAGGGCCTTGGACAGGAGCCCGCCAGCCTCCTCTGCCTCCGTGTTCGCCCCAGGGAATCTCTGCCACGCCCGTCTGAGCCAGGACAGAGTGAGCGGAGAGTCCGGAGGAATCGGAATGTTCAGCGAAGAGGGAATACAGAGTTATTTTCTTGGTTTGGAAACCTGTCCAGGTGCGCACCTTATAATCAGTGTTAAAAACGTTTCCTTCGCAATGTTCCTACAGTAAAAGAAAAGTATTACAATCCCTGTGGCCAGTGTCCTGCTCACTGCTCATGTTCCAGCTGGAGAGAGAGAGATCCCCTCTCCCTCCCCTGCTGGAACGCTCAAGGTGGAGAAACACGGAGTCCCGTGACGGAGTCGAGCTGTGACGCAGATACCAGTAGTACGGATCAAGAGCTTAAAAGAGGAATGCTCGCCTCTCTCAGAGCTCAGTGGTCAGCAGGCGCTTGGACTTCGCTGCTTCCTCCTTGGCTGGGCTGCCCGCTGTACTGGAGGACACAACAAGGGAACAGAGGTCAGTACAGAGGGACACTTCTGCCAGGAAACACAGGGCTCAATAGTGCATTTACCTGCATGTGGCAGCGAGTAGGTCCTGCATGGCTTGACACCACAGTACTTGTAGTCTGATTTATCTTCCTACTCCCCACCTCACAGCCTTCCTTCCTCCTCCTGTCCCCCAAGATCATCTACAACTCTGGGGGTGCCACAGCCTTCTCCTGCGCCCCAGAGTTCTGGAATTCGTCCCTAAGAATATCAGGGAGTCCCCTTCCCTGAGCTCTTTCAAAGCCAGGCTCAAAACTTTCATTTAACTGAGTCTGCGCAAATACATCTTCTGCTGCATTATACAGACTTAACCTCCTATTTTTTCCTTCTTACTGTAGGCGCTTTGAGAAGCCACTTTTTAAAGGCACTATATAAAATAGCGTGTTATGATGGTAAATGCAGAACTAAGGAGGAATGAACAATGCCCTTGTGTAATCTGCATTAAATGACCCAGAGAGGAGAAAAACAAAACTCTTTTCCGCAGTAAGTTAGTTCCGCAGTAAAATCAACTCACCTGTACAAGGTAAGCATGACAAATAAAAGACAGATGCACAAGAGGAGAAAGGATGGTGCTGTGTATTTGCCAGATACTTTTCAGGATGTTATACTTTATATTCAAGGCAAACAGAAGGGCTTAGGATCTAGACGCCCTCTTCAGTATTCATTATGGAATAGTAGCTGTGGACCGTCTGTGACGCTGGACATGTGTTTTATTGCGATCAGAGCTGCTCCCTTGTTTTACTTTTTTGCACTGCAATGCTCTTTGCAAATAGAACCTTAGTTATATCAGCTACAGGACTGGCACTTGTTGTCCAATGTCACAGATGTAATAGTGGACTCTTTCTTTCTACACAGCACAAAAGAAAATAATGCTCTTGCATGGTGGGGAAAACGGGCACAAGAAAGAAGCAGCCACTTGAGCGCTGGCGCTGTGGCTCAGGATCTGCGCCTGTGACTGGAAGGTTGCCGGTTCAAATCCCACGGCCAGCAGAGGAATCCTATTCCATTGGGCCCCTGAGCAAGGCCCTTCACCCCAGCTGCTCCAGGGGCGCCGTATAAATGGCTGACCCTGTGCTCTGACCCCAAGCTTCCCTCCCTGTCTGTGTGTCTCATGGAGAGCAAGCTGGGATCTGTGAAAAGACAAATCCCTCATACAAGAAATTGTTTACGGCTGATAAAGTGATAAAACAATACCTGGCAGCCAACACAGCAGGAGTGTGGGGGAGAGGAGGCTGTGCAGCCTGAGGGGCAACCTCAGGGTTCAGCTGTGGGCTTTTTGTAGATAAGCTGCCATCGCTGTCGAAAAGGCCATTCGTGAACACGCCACCACCCTGAGCCGATGACAGAGAGCGGCAGATCGGTAACTGGGAAGGGGACAGACACAGGAATCCAAGGAGAGAAGGGAGGTTAAACAAAGCAGAGCGCGACGCAATGCAAAAACAACAGGAGCAAAAATGTCATTTTTACTGAAGTGCAGGCATGCAGATCAAATCAGAGCATTCATTTGGAGAAGGAACAGGACAGCTAATAGTCATGCAACTGTGGTCCATGCGTTTGAGAGCGACACAGAGACAGACCGCTCCACACTCTACTCACAGGAGCTGCTGGGACAATCCATCTAGGAGCAATTATCAGCTTAGACTGAACCTTTAAAAATGGAGGGACGACAAAACCAATCGAATTACGGAAATCTTGAAAGACAGCTTGTATTAATTAATAGAAGATGAAATAATTAATGGAACTCCGATATATTTGAAAACAGATATTGTAACGGAACTCTTACAAAGCTGTTTTGAAGAATTTGCTGCAAACGAGCCCTGAGATTCAGTGGCACTCAAGATGTTACAGAGCTATGCGCTATGTCTATGTAAAGCAGTGTGCCTGAGCACAAGGAACCCATTTGGATTGGTCTTTTTGGACAAGCTACAGCCTGTGGCTGGGGAGCACACAGAGATCAAACCCAGACTGGGGTTTCATCAGCTCTGTTGTTAAACCAACTGGAGAATAGTTCAGTGTGAGTTGTTTATAACATTCTTCAACACTGAGACAATGCACATCCATTAAAACTCACCAATGGGACGGCATCTGTAAAATCGATTAGATTATCCGTTAGAGATGAAATTAGGGTGTCCAGTTCTTCAGTTTTAGCCTGTGTACCAAACAGAATTTAATAAACCGGTGTAAGATAAAAACAAAATGTAAATAAGAACAAAAAAATGTCATGTCTAATCAACAAGATTTTACTAGGCATGAAAATAATCTTTACTTTTAACTTACAATAAAAATGCATCACTGATAAACAGTGCCTTGCAAAAGTACCAGACTCTTCCTAGGGTGTACTTTGTGGAAAACACAAAATTAATATCTGAATCAAAACCTGAATGCTCAAACTGAAAACGTATAAATTTAAGTAAATGTAAATGACCTATAAACTCAATATTTGGTGGAAGAACCTTTGGTAATGGTTACAGCCCCAGATATTTTGGGTCAGTCTGTCCCAGCTTGGTGCACTTTTTCCCTCTCCTCTTCATGCTTCGCTCATGTTATCTCAGATCTCTTGGGGACCCCTTACGGATAGCACATTCCAGGCATTCCCCCAGATTCCCAGGATTCAAGCCAGGACTCTGACTGGACCCCTCAAGGACGTGTCTGCTACTGAACTCTGTAGCTCTGCTGGTCTCACAGTGGCCTCCCTAACCAGCCTCCTCTCCCTGGCTGCTCAGGGTGGAGGGACAGCCTGATCTAGGCAGTGTCCAGGTGCGTACCACTTCTTAACCCTTTACTTTACCCGACTCAGAGATAGTAAGAGTCTCTGAAGTGTTTTTATACCCTTCTCCTGATCTGCGACTTTACACAACTTTATCCTTGTGCCATTCTGAAAGCTCCCTTGTCTTTATAGTTGAATCTTCGTTTGAGACACACAACCTGACTGAGGGACCTTACAAGATATTAATGCATATATTCTGAAACCATGTTAACCGCTATGATTGCACACAGAGAGAAGCTCCACTCAACTAACCATGTGGCTTATTAAGGTAATTATTTATCTATTTACTTATTTTTGTTGTCTTGCCTTGAATGTGTGAAGTAGATTGAGTATATAACAAGTAATTGCTACTTCAAAGTGTCATATCTACTTGACACTAAAGCAACAAGATGTGCAAATTGCTCAATCGTGAGAATAATTTTGCAAGTCACGTTATGGCAAATCTTTTTATGGCTTGGCTTCAGTATACTGTGGAGTTTAGAGAGGCTTTATGTTTCCTGATGACGTGAAATATTTTTTAATGAATACTGAGGCTTGCAAGTGAAGGTACAAGTATTAGGATACCTTTAGGGTCACAGCCTCGCTGCCAGGTTCAGGCGTTAACAAGGGAGCTGAGGAAGAGGCATGATCTTCAGTAACAGCGCTGCCCTTTACCTCATTGCTGAAGAAGGAAAAAAAACAGTTCCTGTTGTTAGTCAACGTGATGGGCAAGTCTCTGCCAGGTGATACCAGCAGCCTGAAAAAACTTCAACATTGAACAGAAAAGTCTGGCTTTCAAGACTAATAAGTGCCCAAGCTGGGTAGGAGGAGCCTTGGCAAATCTTTATTCCAGCTGGAAGCTACATGCAAGTGCATTTTAAACTGAGAACAGAAGGCGCTTCTGTATCAAGAGGGTGGGAGACAAGCTCTCATGCCATGCTGTGAAAACTGATAGCCTGACTTCCTTCCAGAAACAGCTAGCTGAGATCCTGGGATCACTGAGATACTAAGTACCAAGCGGGCCCGATAGACCGCATGGCCCCTCCAGTTTGTAACCGTTCTTCTGTTCTCACTTCCTACACTTCTCTTGCTCCTACACTTCCGTTCCCTCTCGCCATCAGGGATGGCAAAGATCTGCAGCAGCAGCACAGAATAAAAGGAATGGAGTTCTGCCGTGTTTTGTTCACTGTAGGAAACATGGGAAACTTGATCTGAGTCTCTTAATGTGGGAGTCCTAACACTATACACATCCAAACCGAGGCCCAAGTGCAGCAAGAAAGTCTAAATAAGCAAGCAAATCAGATACAGGCAGCAATTAGGCCTGGTGATAAAGATCAGCTGGAGCAAAAACTGTCTGACAAAGGGCTCCTCCAGGCACAGGACTGGTGTAGACTGAGGCCCTCAGCTTGGACCGGGAGCTCTTTCACACCAGACTGGTGTCGTTATCAGCACACCACAAGACACCAAATGGCCAGTCAACAAGAGTGTTCCCATTCCTTCCAGGTGTTGTTAAACTGAAGCCCATTTCCTGCCCTGCTATCTACTTTCACAACTAAACTACATCCGTTTAGGACAGCATAGGGCTTTAAAATGGATTGCAAAACGGGCTACGGGTAACGACTGCAATGGAACAACTGGTGACTAAAGGAAAATGAAGCAGGTTGGCTTTAAAAAGGCAGTGTCACATGAGAGTGAAAAAGGGGCTGTCCTGCACCTTAGAGACCATTTCCTGAGGTGCAGGTACCGCGTTTATCACAATCATCTTCATTAGTGAGCATTTTGCATATCTGTGGACTACGGCCATGATCAAAACATTTACTATTAAAATGATTTAATCAAAGAAGGTTTAGAGATTTAAGATTTTAGGCCTTGAGGAATCTTTAAGGATATTATTTCATTATAAAATCAGATAAGAATTTGGAGAAAAGAAAAGGTTTCTAGGTGCGTTTTTCCCCCACAAACAGTGTGCGTCAATTTACCCATTTCATCACACGTTTTGATCTGGAAGGGTAACAGCATTAGCCAAACATGTATTGGTGCTATAAAAAGTCCTGCACTGGCTCACCCTGACTTTGAAGTGTGTGTTGAGGGGAGGGGTTGTCAACGTGCCGTTTCAAATGCCTAACGAAGTCAAACCCCGCAGGCATGCGACAGATCCTGCTGTTTAATCTGCCTGACAGCTGTTCCTAGGACTCGCGGGGGAGAGCTCATAGAGATGGCAGTGGTGGTAAACGAGCTGTGAACTAGGGCTCCCGTGGGGGAGCAAGCCAGCGATTCTTATCCCCTAGAAGGACTAAGAAAGCATCTTGTTAACATGACAAAAACACAGGTGACAAAAGATGTCACATTTCTGAAAACACTTGCACTTAATGCAGATCAAGATTCGCCTCACTCTGCCTTTAGATCAGAGGAAAGACAGCGAAGCCTCAGGGCTGCCTGGCTCTTTTTGCTACCGACTCTGCTGCTTCCTGTTTGAAGCGAGACCCTTTTAACATCCCAGTTTTCAAACAACGACAGCCTTGGTATAATTCCTAGTGCAAAGGACTCATACAAGCCACAGGCCCAATTCTCTGATCGCACATAGACGTGTGCTTCCTTTCTTGTGAACAGATTTGCTCTTTTTGACGTTTTTCCCAGATTGGAACTAGAGAACGTCCCCCTCCTCCGTGTTTCCAGGAGAAGAGCCCGAAAAACGAGGCCGGACAGCTACACGAGAGGCACTGCGCCACAAGGCCGCAACGGGGCCAAACGCTGCCCCTCCCACCAGCACTAAGGAAGAAAACATGGTGAAGAACACAAAACAGTTTCTTTTCACAGTCGCTGTAAGTCTCAAGACTGTGAAAAGAAACCCCTGGAGCTCTTCGAGAGGCACACAACCAGGCAAGATTTTATATTTGCTGTGTCTCTACTTTAAGATTTTAATTCTTAAATATGAACTCATTTCAGAGGGAGTTTCAGAACCCCCACATTCAGGTGTGTAACCCGAAGCGGCCTCCCGTCTGTGTCCGTTTCTCACGAACGGATCAATTATTGCACATCCTGTAATCAGAAGTGCAGGTAAGAAACCCTACACAGTGGAACTTACCGGAAACACCAGTGTTTTTGAAATTCGGGGCTGAGAACGGAGACACGCTAACAAAAAGTCTGAACAAGCAAACAGATCAGTAAAAGTGATCAATTAGTACTGAAAAGTCCAGACGGTCAGGATTATGCTGGGAGCAGCTATTATAGGGAGCAGGCGCCCCCTGCTGGCAGCCATAAAAAGCGCACAGTGCACAAACTGAACAATGCTCGTACAACAGTCAAGACATTTTTGGCCCATTTCCTCTCTCTCCCCCCCCCAAATTAATGTATACCCCATTTCCATCCCCGAGGGGCTGTTTGCATACATTCTGTATTTTAATTCCACCGGTAAATTAGATATTATATTGAGATATTATAAATCTCCATCACTTTTCCCCCCCTTCTTTCAAACTTCAAACCCATGAAAGCCTGGATGCGGACGAGCAGGAAGCTCTCTCACTCATTTACCCACGCACACGAGGAAGGATCCACGGCGCGTTTTTTCATCTTTTCAGTGCGGAGTGAACCTTTTTATTTTATTGCCTGGCTCACCGACTCGGCTCCACACTGGATTACTGAACTGTCTGCGACTCTCGGCACTGACGATTACAAACGAAACAAAACAGCAGCCACACCACGTGTAGAGACAACCCTCGCTAAAGAGCTCATTTACTTTGATCGTCCTCTCGCGATGTGGCATTACTCTACGTTGGGAGCACAGTTACATAAACCAGCCCTGGAGCCGAACACGCGTGGAGCTATTTCAGATGCAGAATCTTGCGTGGAGCTGCGTCAGAGGGCGCTGGTGGCGAAGGGACCAGACAAAAGGTCAATTCCACGAGGAAAAGTGGAAAGATAAACCTCCCCCAGCGGTGTACTCTGGTCTCGTACTGTGAGAGAGCCAACTTTCTCTCACAAGAATTAAAGTACCTCTAGCATCCTTCCACCGCCAGGTGGCCGTATAGAGCCACCCTGAAGAAAAACAGAAGCGCTGCATGAAGAAATACATTTGAACGGTTAACACCACCCCTGGGGTGTACATTTCACTGCACCGCTATTGTACAGAGACTTAGTGCCTGTCCTAACAATATCTCGAAGGAAATTTTAATCCCGCTCGCAGGGAATTAAAATTCTACAGAACATGACACACGCAGCGGAAAGACGAGAGGCACTCGGTAATCTCCCACTGTCCCACTTTCCGCCCGTGTCAGACGCACGGTCTCACGGATTAACGGCTCCAATGTCTCCTTGATGCGTATCCGTTTTCGGTCCACTTCGGCTCCAAGATAAAACGTCGAACACCGAGCTCCCTTCTTGCTCGGCTAACCCGGAGCAGACGCCGGCACCGCCCCCCGCCACACTACCCGCACGCCCGGGTCTTACCTGGGGGCCGCGGAGGCCAGCGGGCTCGGCTTGAGCGGGTCCCTGGAGTCCAGCCGCTCGGCGCGCCCACACGCCGGCAGCGAGGATGCGCTGCCCAGCCGCCCCAAGCTCCCCTTGTTCCTGGGGCACAAACACAGAGGACAAGGGCTGGAGGCGACCGCAGTCCGGCCGAAACCCGCTGGACGGCACGCCGACCACAGCTGCGACATGTTCTCGCTCGACCTCGACAAGCCGCCTTTTCACAGAACACCGTACAGGGGAACCGCGCTGTGCAAGACGGCCTTCACTACATGTATAACAGAACTAAAACTGGATCAAAAACTCCTTTGTGTCTTCATGAAAAATGGGCCTTTTTTTTTTTGGAACACGTGATGACAAACTCAGGGATTGTTTTAAACACTCTCAGGTCCCCAGATATGTCAACCGGAGCCAGACAAAGCTAGTCCCGTTACGGTCCCTCGCACTCATTTGGGGTTTCAAGCGGTTCTGCGCCTTTATGATGAGTGGAGTGCAGCCCCAGCCCAGAATATGCGGCTAGTGTCCCCGAGAGCGTAGCAGCCGATGTCGGAGATGAATTATTCAGGAAGGACAACTGAATATTCATGACCACTGTGCGTTTTAAACCCGGCTGAAATTTGAGCCCGTGCTGCCTGTGCGACCTGATTCTAACAAGCGCACACAATAGTCATCCAGAACGGAAGAAAGCCTTTTCAGGTCTTTTCCTCCGACTCTTCCTTGAATTCCGGCAGCCCAGTCCGCGGTTCACTCCTGTACCTGGCCGCAGCTTCCTGAAGGTTGCAGTTCTTGTCCCCCGCAGCTGCAACGTCCTCTCTTGTGACCTGTCGGGGGAAACGGGAGACGTAGGAAGGAAAATCGCACCTAGCTTTCCTAGCAATGACAACCTCAGGAATATTCTGCTCAAATGTAAAACCGCCGCTTTGTTATCGTTATCGACAGCCCCGCGGGGGTTTGGAATTGCCAGCTGAGCAACAAACCCCATCACCGCACACGGGGGAAGGGATGAGGAAGTGGAGGCGGACTCCTTCAGCCCGCCCACCTCCACGCCCCTTGGCTTTCCACACATCGCAGTCCCGCGCAGATCGGAGGATAGGCGCCTCCATTATCGACGGTCCCGCATGCCTGTAAGCCACAGGGGGCGCTGTTGCCAAGAGCTGGGGAGCAGCAGTCTTATCCCACCCGACCCTGGGCACTGCTTGGGGGATCCTGGTCACAGCTGGCTGGTGATCTGACCCCAGGCTCGAACCCGCAGCCACGGAGCTCAGCCTGCACTTAGCCGAGCAGCTTTACCGGTTGAGCCACTTGGGAGGTCATATTACGACAGACTGCTGACGAAGCTTCTTGGCTCTGGATCAACGGCACAGTGGTAAAGATGTGCTGGGTCTTACCTTCAGAGCCGCCTCTGCCTGTGCTTTCAGAATGTTGCTCTTCAGATCCGGCGCGGGGCGCACTGGAGCTAGGACAGGGCTGTTGGTCACGTTGTTCAGCGACTTCTCAGTCAGCTTCACCACCTCCTCCTGCAAGAAGACAGCCCTGTCATCAGTACAGGAAATCGTCCAAGAGATTCTGAGGATACGTTTTAAACTATGGCAGACGTTTCAGCTCTCTCGTTGGGTAGCTAAATCATGATCGATTTAGAACGCAAACAGTCGGGTTTTCTATTTGTTGAATGAAACGTCTTGTAAAAAACAGGAAGGAGTCCAAGCTGTGCTGTGGACCGAGGGACATCCGGCTGAAAGGGTGTTGAGACGGGCTCAAAGCCTGCTGCTCTCGCCAGCAGAGTGCTCTGTTGCTTTAAATTGACTACCGCTCATCTCCCAGTTGTTTGTATTCTTTTGTGAGGCAATACTAGCCTGCTGTCTGCTGCTCCTAATCTCCTTAAACAGCTCCATAATCTGCCTTGCAGAAGGAGCAAACACATGGCCAGAGTGCTGGAAGGGAGCTGGCCAGGGGAAGCTTGCTCAGAAACAAGCTCTCCCACTTGACAAGTGCTGGTATGCACCAAGTGTTTTGCATAAATGGCTTGTAGAGCCACAACACACGAACGAACCTCATGCCAGCTTTCCCTAAAACTGCACCGGCGAAACTCTCATCCTAGCCCAAGCCCCAGGGAAAGTGGCACATAATACCGAAACGAAGGAGCTCGGTACATTTTCCTTTTTGGGATCCGTCACTTGGGATCTGAATGCAAATTTTAACTTCGTCATGCCCTTGCAATTAAGAAGAAACTGGGAAGGAGCGCGAGAGGGGCTGTCCCTCTGCTCCCAGCCAGAGCCTCTGTGCAGAGAGGCCACCCTGTGTGTCCTCGGCCCTGACCCTGCACTGGGGCAGAGCACAGCAGAGGTCTTCCGATATCGGGGCCTCTCTGTGAATAAAACGGATGTTGAAGAGACTTATCAGCACACAATAAGCACACGATTCACAGATCGAGCTGTTCGAAGAAACGGACTCACGAAGTCACTGACCTGACTGTTCACGTTCACATTGATGTTGGACCGGTGGGGAGCGACAGCTGTTACAGCCTCTATTTCCAGCTGCTTCAGCTTTGCTGCTGCCTCTTCAGGGCCCGTGGCAGGAGCGTGAGAAAACAGGGGACAGGAGACAGGAGACACGGTGAGAGAGCGACGCTGCACGATTTCATCGCAGTGCAACACGACCTCAAACCACCCGCTTTGCATCTTTGTAGAAGGGCAATGGAAAAAAAAAACACTCCAGAGCTTCAGAGGCAGAGCTAACACAAATTATACAAAAGCTATAATCTGCAACTAAAAATGCACTGAGGGACGCTTTCCAGATGGTCACCAGTAATGCAAAGTGATCTTTTGAAATAAAAACAAATTTGCAACAAAACAGTCATTCATTAATAACAGCAAAAAGCACAGATTGCCATGTGTCAGTTTTGTGACACGAAAGTCTTCAATCTCTTTTCTCTCATGAAACTAGAGTAGCTGTGTCCGGGTTAGTCCTTACCACACAGAGAGATTTTCTCCTCTTCGTTTTCACTGGATCCAGAGGGAGCGGCACTGAGGCCTACTTCGTCAGGCATGCCTGGAGTTGTCATGGTTACTGGTGCCCCGATGACCTCGTCAACACACGTCTCCAACAGATCCTTGCAGTCTAGCAAATCAGCAACAAGTGGCAGACTGCAGGGGGAGAAGGGAGAGAAACTAAACATCACAACTAAACCCCGAACAAGAATTCCATCATAACTGCACACGTGATTACTGAAACATTCATGTGAAGTAGATGTCACAAAGATTTCCATTACTCACCAAAGGCCCAGTAAAACACTGGTACAAGCCCCCTTATAAAAGACATTTCTATAGCTAATTCTGACAAACCCATTACTACTGGTTGCTCGTATAGATACCTTGATCAAATTCATACTCTCAAAATCACAAAAGAATGAAGAGTCAAATAAAGGACACACAAAAGAAAGGTGTTTTTCAGCTTAACCCCAAGTCAGGGAAGAAATGTTCCCTTGCACAGCTCTTCCTGTCCACAGGAAATCAACCTGGTTTCTGGTACCTAACGCAATTTCCATACAGCACTATTAAAGGCCAGGTTGTACAAAAGCCCTCGTCAAGCCTTGCGCAAACTGCACCTCAACGCCCACGGCACCAAGGCTCACCTTGTAGCCACTCGCCGAAGACAACAGGAAGCTCAGTTAATTGTTGGAAAACCCCAGCAGTAGCTCTACCAGCAATGAAGAGCTAAAACACAGCCCCAAAACGGCCTTGCTTTTATCACCAACCCTTACACCTCTCTGAGGTAATTTCCTAGTATAAATGCATCAGGATACATTTCCTTCGTGCACTGCTGCTTCCCTCGGTACTCCTGACGCCCTGCTTAGGTCTGAATTCATAGTCACGACAAATTGTCAGGCTACGGCCACGTCTTCTCAGCTATTTAGTTTGGCATCGAATTCAGTGTCTTCAGTGTTCCGTGGCTGAGAAAAAGGCTGAGAGGTGCCCTCAAAAACACGTTTCATAAAGGAAATGCTGTCAGTGGCGGGGGAAAAAAATAATCAAAGCAATAAGACAATAAGCAATAAGACAAATCAGAAAAATAAAAAACTGGAAAACAGAAAGGCAAGCACTGTCGGCAACCATCTGAGCTCGTCACAGTTATATCCACATCCTGGACTTGTTCCAGGGCTGAATTACAGTACAAGGGCACAGAATAGCACCGTCACGCTCACAAGACGACAGAATGAGCTAATGTTGACACACAGTAAATTGACAACGGATCCACTGTACTTACCTATAAGTGTAGCTGGGTCCCACTCTGGATTAACATGGGTGGGTTAATAATGTCATAACCACCGGGGGACAGATGAGCAAACCCAAACAAGCCCCAGTCTACGCCCGTCGCAGTGAAAAGGCACTTCCACAGAACCCGCCTTCAGAACATTCTTGTTCTGTCTAACTGCATGCTCTGACATTACTGGACTTCAGTGGGGCAGAAAGCAGGTCAATCAACACAGCTGTCATTGAGTTAAAAAAACATCTTATTCCATCCTTGGCGGGGCTACGTGTTAATTTTGAAGAAACGATTTACCAGGCTCTTGAAGGAAAGATGATGCCCCTCTATTCAGACACTGGATAAAAGCCCCAAAGCTCTGCCTGCGAGATTTTTAGCACCGAGAGAAGAGGCGAGGCTCGCCATATACCTGGCGTTCAGATGCTCGCCACAGAGAAACTGAATTGACCAAGGAGATGGCTGCCTGTCGCCTGGGCTCACCATCACGCAAGCACGGGAGAGGCTGCTCACGAATGCTTCTTTCTGAGGCAAGCACCCTGCCGGCGTCGTCTGCTCACCCACACTGCCAGCCCCGGAGCGCCCGGGGCGAGGGCAGCACTGACTGGAGCAGAGGTACGTCTCCTGCGGACATCGCACAGGCCGAGAGGAGTGCAGGACGCGCTGGGGTGGGCTGGGGTGCGAGGGGCCGCTGTATTCCCGTCCTAGGGCAGCCCGGCCCGCAGAAACCCACACCACCCTCCCTCCTGGGAGACAGGGTTAGAGAGCAGCGGCGCTCCGAGCTCCAGCAGAGAGGGCGTCTCGGCCGCGCCGTGCTGCAAATACACGCGCCGACCCCCGCACTCCCGCCAGCTGGGGGATTCCCAGGACCACGGGGAGCTTCACCTCGATGGGAACTGTGGAAAAGGGCCACACCCTGAACCGACCAACGCCAAGCCAGATTAAACCTCACGGCCAGGCGCAGTGGCCGCGCGGCCCAACTCGGGGGTGCTGGGAGGATCGCAGTGGAAAATAAATCGATCTTAAAACAGTGATGATGAACTCCAGTTTTTTTGTTTTTTAAAGCACCGATGCCAAAGGACCGATATTGGCCAAACTGAGGGCCAGTTCGGGTGTCAAAAAGCTATTCTTCACCTGCAGGTGCAGAGGACGAAGCTAGGAGGAAGACCAGGTGCAGAAGACCCCTGCTGACAGTATGATAAAGCAGGCAGACGTATCCACTACTAGATGAGTATTTTCACACTAATGGCATGAAAACTGCTCAACTTTAACACCCGTTACAGTACTGACCACAGCAAACCAGGTTCCTATAATGTAGCCTGCAAATAACATACCTTAGTGATTGCATCAGTGAGGAAATTCCATTCTAACAACATAATTAAAAAATGCTCTTTGATTTTGATTCAAATGACACGGAGTATTCTCAGGTTGGTAATACCAGAACAAAGGCACTGTTATTTTATTGCATAATATTTTTCATTATAATATTTACTACAGAGTTTAACAGCACAATTAATGTTTACAGAAAACTTTTTGTTCCAGATAAGTGAAGTATTAAAGAGATTAGCACACCATTAACCATCTGTGTCAGTGCACAGATAAGATGGGACACCATTTCTGATTTAATACTGGACAGCCACTGACTTGACTGAACCGTTATCTTTGTTTTAAATTCTCTCCAAGTCATGCTTCACACAAGGTTGAACCCAGTCCATGCTGATTAGAGGCTTCAATAATGTGTTTCAATATTAATAAAACTTGAATCCTGCTACTGATATTGAGTGTATTCCACATGCAAAATAAACTAATTGACAAATCTTGAAGACGAGTACTATGCGTGGGTCTGTGTGATAATTGTTCATTACTGCAGGTTGTAGTGCTGAGAGATCTAAGGCCAGGTGTGGAGAATGTACTAAACAGTTGTTTATTAAACTTATTACTTATTGGTAAAATATTGAAATTGGTACAAGCAAGCCTTTTCTAAAAGAAAAAAAACAAACTAGTTGGGAGGGTTACCAAGGTAACTGGCTAAAATCACGATTTTTTTTTTTACATTAAAGACATTGATTTTGAAGGCCGTTATCATCTGTCATAGAGGAAAATAAATGTGCATATTACTGTAGATAAAATGCGATTCAGCTGACATCATCGCCGTTGGTTTGCAGACATGATACTAATACCATCATCTTGCAAAAGTTCTCTCCCCCAGCATCCGAAACGCTTGGGCTGAGGAGGGGCAGTGCTACAACGAAGAGACGTCGTCTGGCGTGGAGAGAATTTCCCAGCAGCCTGGTCCTGCAGGTCATTCAGCGCCCCCCTCCTCCTCCTCCTCCTCCTCCTCCTCCCATCAGCCTCCGCCGCAGCTGGTCGTGTCCCAGCGATGGCAAAGGCGCCGGCGGGAGTGTGGCGCTTGGCCGCGGGGGGCGGGGGGCCTGGCGGAGGGGAGGGCAGGCAGGGCAGGGCGTGTGTGAGTGGCGCAGGGAGGTGCGAGGCAGGGCCAGGGAACAAGCAGCAGAACACCATGAGGAAGCAGGGGCACGCGTTTCAACCAAGCTGGCAACAGACAGGAAACAAGGGAGGAATCTCTCACGGATGCTTCTCTCGCAGAAATTCCCCACCCGCGTGCTTCTCCGTGTGACGGAAGGCTAGCACAATGCATTTTGGGGCTTGTACTTTTAGAAATAAAGAGTTCCTCTGTTTGATTTACACAGAGGTCTCTTTAGGCTGTAAAACCTGCCTCTCAACACCAGCCCTTTCATTAGTCGCTCCTTCAGAAATCTGGGGGCCGAGGTTACTGACACTGCCTCACACTTTCAAGGGCTGCTTTGAAACTTCTCATCTACTTCGACCTCAGATTGTCCTTCCAACGTGGACCAGAAGAAAAGAGAGGATAAATGTCTTCAGCTCCCTTTTAAAATATCTGAATGCCTCTCTGGAGTTATTTATTTTTTTAATTCCAACTCCGACATGAAACATTTTGGACATCACATTAACTTTGAAGTATTGTGCTAAGGTTAAGCACTTTGTGGAACAAAGGTAAAATGTATCATTTTCTGTTTAATACACTGTGAAGGTTTCTTGACCTGTAGTAAGGGGCTTTATTAACTTGCCAATACTTTCTGCGCAGAAGCCACTATAAGAGCACAGCTGTGGACAAGAAGGATCAGAGAGAGCGGACAGGACTGACGGTGCAGCGGAGAAGGAGCTTTTCAAACCCGTAAAGCAACGGTCTTAAAATGAAACTCGGTCTTTAAAGCACAAAGCAAATGCATAAATCATCGCCACTGATTTCTGAAGCCATGGATTTTGGCATGCAAGAAGAAGCAGAGGGCTGCCGAGGAGAAGGACCCGACGAGCGCAGGGGTGGGGCCTGGGCCGGGCCGGGCCGGCCTGTCCTGCAGGAGCCACAACCGGCCAGGCGGAGCAGCACGATCGCGAGCCAGCGGGCAGAGGGGGAGCTCGGGGTCTCACGGGAAACCACGCCGGGGAAGCGGCCAATAAAACTACTTCCTTAAAAACCAAATGACGTTCTTCGCCTGAACTGTAGAACTGTGGGCGAGATCACCTCCAGCTGCCAACACGGGCGCTGAAAACCTCCCCCCTCCTCCCGATCCGAGGAGCACAGTCGCCCTGTAGCACTGCCCCTCGCAGAAGACTGCCGTTACAAGCTTAAATGCTAAAGAATATGTTCAAGCTTATTTTACGCACCTTCCTTCATAGTCAATCGGCGAGCTATTGAGAAGTTCAGCTAAAAAGTAGCCCTTCCCCCAGTGAAAACCCCTGTGTTGATAAAGCTTAACCATTACATAATCATGAAACAATATTCAATTGAATTTTCTATCAATCTTTTGCATTCAGTCAGCTTAAATTAAGATCAATTTTAATTAAAATTTAATTACAAGTCATGACAAATAACTTTTCCTGTTTAGCGTAATTAAATATCTATGATGATATATTTAAGTTTTCTTTAAGACCTGCCTCCTGCTCTTTGAACTTCATCAGAATGTTTTTGTCATATTTCATTCATTGAGTTCCTTGAGGTTTCATCTATTGAATTATATTTGTGTATTTGGTCTTAAACCGTTTATTTACAAAATGACAGTCTAAGTACATGTATCTACTGAAAATGGATCAGTAACTAGGAAGGAAGGTTAAAATGCACAGTTTTTGCATTTGAGCATTTCCTAAGCTTTGTACTGTCCGTGTGTATCTTGGACGGAGTCTCTGAGGCACAGGACACGACAAGCTGGTTGATTCTGTCAAGAGGTTAACCAGGGCAAGGCACCCACCGCTCACCCAGCACCCCAAGAGCACAGCTCTCTCCTCTCCCCGCGAGAGGGAGCCCAGCCTGCCACCACACTGCCACCCCCGATTAAAGCAGAGACAAGACAGAGGAGACCCCCGATCACCGGCTCGATTCACAGAGGGAAGAAATCAAGAGCAGCCCCCAATTCCCCTGCAGCAATCATCAAAGTTCCACTGATTTGCCAAAGCGGTTTTGCCATCGATACATACCTTGCCTTTAGAAAGGCCATTAAGTGCCAGTAAGTCACATGAAGCTACAACAAACAATACGCAAATTAAAAATCAAAACAAGTCAACCGAACACCATTTGTTTTTGGCGGCTCCCAACGACACACAAGACTGGGGAAATGTGCCGTTCAGCTCGAAAGGAGCTCTGCCTGACAGGCCCAGTCTCGCACGGCTTCCGAGATCCGATGAGGGCAAAGGTCAAAGGTCAAAGGCTGGCGCTGCTACTTCTCTCCCCACAATGATCGGCAAGCAGCACACTGAACCGTGACTCAGCAGCTCCACGTTGGACTTCACAAGCTCAGGGCTCGAATACGTTTCTGGCATTAAACCCACGAGGCGCTTACCTTCTCTTGTCCGAGTGGCCGGCTGCAGGACTCCTGGGGAGGGTTTGGACTTCCAGCGGGACAGGGGCGGCCGGCGCGGCGGTGACCACGGGCAGGGCCAGGCGGGGGGTCAGGGCCTGGAGGGGGCAGGAAGGCCAGGGCAGGTTCAGACCACCGGGACGCTCAGTGGGGCACAGCCAACAGTAAGACAGCCACTTACATATTGGGGACACTGCCCCTGTACTCAAAACCAGGTAAGGTTGCTGTGCATATCTCCACACAACTATCAGTCTGGCATGCAAGTGTTAAGAGATCTAGGCCAGTGCCTCCTGGAATACACAGATTCACTACTACTTGAACTGTTGACTGGCTTTATTCGCTGCTGTCAGATGTCAAGGCAGAAACGGGGGAGTAAAAGCCCATTATTACCTTTGCATCACTGGTTTGATTGACGCCATTGTTGTGTGCACTGCGGGGGGAAGGAAACACACAGCCTGTTAGTGCACACAGCTCATGCAGCTAGGGGCAAATGAAACAGTACAACAGATATGATAGCCTGAGCAACACAGACAAGAGTGGTGAGCGGTATCTGAGCCTCCTTCCCACAGAGCGGCCAAGACAGCTCCTGCAGTCAACCAGCACAACGGAGACACTTCGGGCAGACCAGGCCCCACGGTTACCTTTGACCTTGCACAGACGCCCTCAATAGGGTCGCTCAGGTGCCGGTTTTAAACCTGATCTTGAACTGCCAAGTAACGGCAACGGGACTAAATTTCGCAAAGTTTTTACTTTGTAAAATGATAAGGCATCACTTTGTTTCCCTCTACAGAATTACAAATGTATCAAGGGTGAAAAGGCCATCATCATAAACATCATCATGTTTCCTAGCACTCTCTTCATTCACAGTCCTAACCCTGCCAGCCCTCTCTCGACCAGACCTGAAGAGGCTCAGTTAGCTGCCACAATCTCTGTACACTGCCCAGCCCTTACAGCCAGTGCTCAGCTCATCCCTGGCAAGCTGATCACCAAGACCAGGCTGTTGAAACTATTGTCCACAGTGGACACTCAGCAACCTAAAACACAGAGTGGATAAAATGTTATATAACGTTCGGGTGAAGCAAGGATGGAGCTCGAGAGAATCGGAGACATGGCTGTAGAAGCAGGGAGGGTGTTTTCTGAACAACACAGAAGGAAATTCTACTGGCTTGGCACTGTGGACGAAAGCGTGCGTGCTGGTTGGTTCCCAGGCGATGGGGTCAGGAATGAGTCAAACTGCTCCTAAGGCTGTGTATTTAGCTTGTGGTAATCACCAAGAACAATAACTGTAAAAAGACAATGAGAACTGCAATGAAATGCATCTTTTCTACTTAACCAAATCACATATTTGTATTAGTTCCTTGCATTCCTAGAGGGCTTTGGATCACAGTGCTCTCACACATGGGCTGGGACCACGGAGGGGTAGCACCCACATGGGTGTCACACAGCAGGGGCACGGGGAATTAAGGGGCACTTACAGACTTACAGACTATGTGGATGGAGGAGTGTTTAGCCAGGACCCCAGGGTTAACACCCCTACTCTTACAAACGGTGCACTGCCATCTCAAGCCCTCAGGATTTCGGTTTAATTTCTGCCAGAAGGCCACCCCCACGGTAAAACAAGAGCCTTAATTTCAAAATGAGTCAATCCCTCCAAAAGGATGCACTTAACTGCAAACATCCCCTGCTCGACGTCCCAGTGACCGACTGCGAGACCAGGAGAACTACAAGGGCAGAGGAGTACACTCCTCTGCAGGCAGAGCTAGCTGGGCTGAAGACGCTCCCAGTCCAGCGTGAGACAAATCGGCTGTCCAAACCGCAAACCCAAACAACAGGGCCTGCTGGAGGCAGAGCTGCTGTTTGGGGTTCCTAGCTCTTCAACTAAAACTCACACGGTGTAATGCGATACTTCTGACTAGTCAGATATGTGCTGTTTGAAAAGAGAAGGTGATCATGCATATTTCTGGTGAATAAATCTTTTTTTCCCCTTTCAAACAGGCATCGATGAAAAGAAGCTGGATTTTGACATGTTGTAATGAAAGGACTTACTTTGTCTCTTGGTTTTTGTTGGCAGCTGTGGGAACAGTAGAAAGCAGTTAGTTCCAAGCACCACATTTAAAATAAAAGTGAAAAAAATATACATCAAATTAGATAACTGTGATTTGAACAGGACAGAAACGCAATCACAGATCCCTGTAATGTGTAAACATTCCTTACAAACATCCATGAGTTTCATCAAAATGGCCTCTTATAATTGGTCAGCTCAGCTGTAGGCATTGTGGGATGAGGTGGCCAGGGCTCTCCCAGCTTTCAAGAGACCCACATGGCTTCTTAGGCGCTTGCAGGTTCTGGTATTGAGGGACGCGCCTCTCCTCCAATCAGCACCGAACCTCTGGTAAAGGGCGGTGCTTCCCGTGGCGCGTGAAAAGATGATTGGTTCCAAGGTGGGTGGGTCAGAGGTCGCTTCCCCATCCTCCCATGTGTGCGGCGCACGAGAGTCGAGGCGATTATCTCAATCGATCGGCTCGTCATCCCAAAGAGCGTGGGTTTAAAGAATAAAGGAAAATGACTGATTCTAAGTGTTGCAGGAAGAAAGAGAAAGAGAGGACCGGCTCACTTTTCATTTGCATGGTCCTCCTGGAGTACCGCCTGCTCGGTCTCCGCTCAAAGGAAGCTGACCTCCTGGCCTTGTTGGCTTTGGTGGTCTGGTACTCCGTTTTCCCACTGAAACGGAAGCAGGAAGCACAAGGCAGTTTGGTTTGCTTTGCTTTCCAAACCATAACATGATCAGAGTTCATCACGGTTTCTCTCTCTCTCTCTCATGGTATTTCCAAACTGAAGATAAAACGCCAACCAGCTAACAAGAATGTTAAAAGCATTCAGCAAGTTAAGTGCTCGACTGAATTACGCTTTGCAGTATCAATCAGACGACAGCAGCAATGTTGTGTGCAAGTGCTGTCAGCAAGCCGAGGCATAACCTCCATTAATCAATAAACACTTCAGAGCGATCGGTGCTTATTCACGAGCTTGAATTCAACATGCTGCCTTTACAGAACGTGGTTATTAGTTAAGGTAAAATAAAAGATTAGAAATGCCTGGCGAGTTTCCAAACTCTTTTTTACAAAACCTAATAATACATCCACTCACCGAATTCTATACCCTAAAAAAAACAAATACCATTTTAATTAAGCGTCACCATCACAAGGACACGGCAAACAATCTCCTACGCTTTCCTGGGAAAACAGTACTATACAAGTCCCCTTGCCAGCTTGCGAGTGGATTTTAATTCCATGGGAATATTCTGGAACTCATCGGAATGACTTGAAAGATGCTGTCCTACTTATCTGGAAGCATGCCTCAGCAAAAAAAGGAAAAGGTGTCCCTATTCTGAAATGTCTCCCAAGACACCCTACCTTCACATTTGCTGCACAAATATTTGTGGACATGGTGACCCCCAAGGTCCTTAGACTTAATAACACGAGTGTAAATATAACCATAACAATGAAGAACATGCAGCCGA